TGAGCCAACTCGTTCGGTACTACAGCCCGCAGCGAGACAACTCCCACGAGGAGCCTACTCGTTCGGCACTACAACCCGCAGCGAGAAAACTCCCACGTGGAGCCAACTTGCTAGGTACTACAACCCGCGGCGAGAAAACTCCCACGAGGAGCCAACTCGCTCGGCACTACGAACCCGTTGCAAGGCAACTCCTATGAGGAGCCACCTCGCTCAGTAATAAGACTCGTTGCGAGTCAACTCTCTCGAGGAGACAACTCCTCTCAATTTACTACATAATCAGAAGCTCAAGTTAGCACGATTACAACCCTAGAAACACTTAGAGATATTATGGGAATTTATATATCCTGGCCAGCTTGATTACTCAAATTTATCTACTTGTTTTCGACAGATCCTTCATAAAACGTGGCCACGGTCCAAACATACTTACGACCCACGAGGTCTAACAAGGGCACGATCCCCATCAAAAAATCTTGAGAGCCTGATTCACTCATCAAGTACATCACGCATAAGGCTATATGTAAACACATACAAGCAATGCGTCAAACCATTGATAACGTTAATAAATAACAACTCTCACGAGGAGATAACTCGATCCGCGCTACCACATCGTCGCGGGACAACACCGATGACTCAAGTAACTTACATCGCGACGACATGGTCGCGCTATGCGCCAACGCGCCTCCACGCCCCTCCGACACACGCTCCAATGCATTTTCGCACACCATCAGGCCATACGCCAATGAGCGACTACTACAATTTTTACTCTCGACACGATCTGGCACCCATTTCACCATGGCCCCCACATCGACTCGAGAGTGGGGGGCTTAACGATATGTCTAATTGGCCCAACCCAATGGGCTTACAATTTATTACTTACTCGGCCACGAGCCTAATATTGAAGACCACTATCACCGAGGCCCAATCATCTTCAAATAAGGTTTGGGCCCAACAATCTCAGCTATGGTATAAATGACGATATAATTCATTTATTAAAGGTACGTCCTATTATCTGAGCAATACTACCAACTGTATTCTCTTGACTATTTTCACTATCCGCACGTCTGACTTGAGCATCGGAGGGGTTTCCGCCGGATCAACCCCGGCCTAGTTCACGTGTTCTCTGTTCGCAGGTATCTCAGGGCCTCTAACACATGAGCAAAATTTTACGAGACCGCCTATCTACGTGGAATCAAACCACCCCTAAGCCCTACGGTACTGACTCGTCGTACCCCGGTTATTTACCGTAACCTCGAAAGAGTTTTCAACATATTTTTACCTTTTAAAAATCATGACACTTATGCACCCACACATACACCATCTACTTACCATTTTCTCATTCTCACACCAATGATCAACACATAAACAATCAAAAGTAGGATCACATAGCAAAACACAAATAAAGTTCCATATAGACATTTCTTCACATAGTCATTTAGGCATAAAAATAAAATTCATAGTCAAATACGAGCAATAATCGAAATCTAAAATATGCAAAGACAATCCATAATCAAAAGTTCATTAATTCTAACATTTTGCAAGAAGAAAGTTCAAGACTTTCATTTTTACATTTTATTCAAGTCTCTCTAGATCTTCATATGTAAGAGTCTTTTAATCAAGTTTAGTACAATTTCTTAATTCTTTCATCAATCTTCATAGAAAATACTAGATCTTAACATGCAAGAGTATTTTAACACAACTTTTAAATCATTTTATCAGTTTTCATTAGAAAATATTAGATCTTAACATGCAAGACCTTAAATCAACAATCAATCACTAGATTAACACATGCAAGACATCAATTAAACCAAATAATCATCTTATGCATTTTTATCCCAAAAATTCGAAACATCACACACCAATAATAATTTCTTTTCTACACCAATTCCACAATCATATACTAGTCTACTCTTATTTCATTAATTTTCCATTTCCTTAGCCAAAGAAGCAAATTTTCGAAAGTTTCATAGTTAAGCCAAAAGTTCAATTTATTTTCACAAATCAACAATCAATCACAAGATAACTAATTAAACCAAATAAGCAACTTATGCAATTTTTCCCAAATTTCTGAAAGTTTCATAGTTAAGCCAAAAATTCAATTTATTTTCACAAATCAACAATCAATCACTAGATAAACATATGCAAGCTACTAATGAAACCAAATAAGCAACTAATGCAATTTTCCCCAAATTTTCGAAAGTTTCAAAGTTAGTCACAAATTCAATTTCTTTTCACAAATCAACAATCAATCACTAGATAAATACTTGCAAGCTACTAATTAGACCAAATATGCAACTTATGCAATTTTTCCCAAATTTTTGAAAAACATAGAACTTCAAGAACAAGCTTATCTTTTTAAAACACTAACATGCAGCCATCATCTAAGCAATATAACCACATAATATGCAAGAATCAACCAAGAATTAAATAAAAACCAAAATAATAATGGTGTTGCATGAATTTTCACCTCTACTCTTTAAGGGAATGATTTGTTAGCACTTTTCTCTCTAATACAAGAAGAGATAGAGGGTTCGATTATAATTTTAAGAAGAAAAAGAACTTGAAAGAAGAGCTTAGCTCTTTCGAAAAAAAAATGAAGAAAAGAAGAGGAAGAAGAAGCTTACTCCTAGGCTTGACCGAAAATTCTCCTTTTATTGAAATAGACGGAGAGCTTGAACTTATAGATGGTGAGAGTGGAGTTTGAGAGTGCATTTTGATCGTGGACATTGGATGTATTTATTAAGTTTTTTGAGAGCTCAAAGCCTATGAAGAAGAAAGCGAAATATATGTTTTTATGGGGGCGATTTTGCAATATGTTGGAAGACGTGGGTGGTGGTTCTTGGATGGTTTGAGCTTGAGAAAATGGTGGCTATGATGGAGGTGGAGCTGAAGAAAAATGAAGGGAGAGAGGAAGAAGGAGAGTGACTCTTGGACTTGCTAAAGTTGGAGTGTGAGAGTGGTTAAGTGTGATCTAGCTAATGATTAGGAAAAGCTAGACTTAGGTATTTCTTTCAATGTTCAAAGTACAAGCCTTCTAATGCTCGTCTTCTCCTAATTAATATGCATCTTTAAAGTCTTGTGTGTTTGTAGTAGTGGTCGAAAATTCAAGAAAATAAGGGAATGATTTTCTAATTTTCTCCACTAATTAATGATCCTAAAATGCATGAGAAAATTTAATTTTCTAAAATTTAGTGCATGCATAAATATGATAAAATGCTCATTTAAATTCATCATGCAAGAATAAAATTTGAGTTCATAGAAATAATTTATTTTGAAAATTTGGGAAATATTTATTTCGACATAATATCTCCAAATATTTCCTAAGCACATAATTCACGTAATCACATAATTCACATAATCACACAATTCACATATCACATAATTCACGCAATTAATAATCATGCAAGAATTATTCTAAATTCTAATTTAATAAATTCGCACATAGAGGTGGTAAATTTACAATACTAATATATTATCGAAATGTGTGGTGTTACATATGAGCTTATTGGCAAAAGAGATATATATCACTGCTAAACCTAGAATATGAAAGATGATTGGTTAGGGAATTATACATAAAAAGCCCTTAAATAGGGGTGGAAATCGGAACGGAATTTCCGAATTTCGCCAATTCCGTTCCGAAAATATCCGAATTTGGAACCGTATTTTTCATTCCGATTTTCGAAGTTTCGATTTCCGATTCTTCCGAATTTATTTGAAACGGAATTGGAATTGTAGATAAAATTATTGAAAATTCCGATTTGCGATCAAATTTTAGTTCCAAATATTTCTATAGTTTTTTTTAAATATATAATATAATTTTATGATATATTTTGTAATCCCATAATATAACATATGTTATATATTATATGAGAAATATAAATACCGAATAGTCAAGTAAATTAAAACCTTCAACTTTATTAATTGGTATCAACAACTTTATGTGCATTTGTCCTTATAAAAAAATCTACGTTTCAATTTGGTGTACCTACATGTGTTTTTGTTTATTGCGTTTTGTCGGACTCTCTTTTGTCATACTTTTTCCCAATGTTTTCATAATCGAACCGGCTATAGAATCGGGCGATCATTTGGGTCATGGGTTTATAGGGTCGAACCGGTTCAACCGGGTTTTTGATTTTTTTTAATATGCCATTATTTTATTAATTTTAATGTTTAAAAATGTTATTTTCTTTAAATTTTTAATCTCCCACCTATTATTTTCACTTTTATCTACTTCACATCACTTTTTATTATATTTTTATTGCTTATGTTCTATATTTTTCAATTGTTTATTCTTCAAATCTGGCAATCCGCCACCTCTATTCGATCACCCATGAACGTATCCAACAATCCTTCGACCACTCATGACTAGATCCGGTCACCCACTACTAAATTAGCAAAAGTTCGCTCAAATCTAGCCACAAATAACCAACTCAGCGGTCATTCGAGACATTTTGGCCGAAAACCGGGTTCCTTGACTGATTCGTCGATTCTAGGGTTTTACCCGGTCGAACCTGATTTAGACATCTGAACCCGATTTTTAATTTTTCCGGTTTTAGATGTCAGACCAGACCGCTTTATTGTTGGGTGGCGGTCGAACCGGTCCGACCGGCCGATTCTAACAACATTGCATTTTCCTACAAAATTTTAAAAAAGATAGAATTTTTTTTTTCATTATTTCCGAATTTGGAACAAAATATTATAACCTAATGTAATATACGAAATTTTCGAAATTCCGCCGATTCTGAGTTATTTCGAAATCGGAATGAATTTTTTTATTTCCGGTGTTTTTTGAACAGAAATTGGAACCCATTTTGTACTTTCAAAAAAAATTGAAAACTTTCCAGAAAAAACTATTTCCGATACATTCCGTCCGATTTACACTCCTACCCTTAAATGAATGATAAAAATTTACCGGATAAAATACACTCAATGTAGCAAGTGTAAACATGACTTAAGAGTTAAGAGTAGATGACTTGGTAAAATCCATTGACTTGGTAAAATCCATTGACTCAGTAACATTAGTTGACTTGACTATATCAATTTCCTCAAAAAAAAAATTAAAATTAAAAAAAAATTGACTATATAAACTACGAAGCAACCACCCGAGAATAAGTAACGAAGAAATTGTCTCAGAACTTCTCACTCCTCAAAGCAAAATCAGCCCCTCTCCGCCGCCGTTGACTGCCGTTACTCCGCTCCCGTCCGGCATCGGAAGCATTCGGCGGCTGACCGGCAGCTTTGCCCAGTGGTTCCTTCTTTTGATTCTCCAGGTTTTTCCCTCTCATTTTCGTTTCTCATCTTATTCCACCATTTTCGCAACTCCACATGTTTTTTTTTTTTTTTACAAGTTATAGCTGATGATGATTTGGACTTGTTATTGCCTTTGTGTTTTGCTAATGCATCCTATTTGTGTAAATAATTATCGGTCTTTCTTCAAAAAATTGGGGATAGTCTGTTTTAAATCATCTGCTTTGCTTTGTGAAGAAAACTTTAAGGAATTCAATATTTGATAATTTTTTGTGTAATTTTAATTTTCTGTAGTGAAACTTAAATTGTTTTTTTACAATTTTTGGGAAATGAGAAGCCATTACAAATTAATGTAGTTGCTACTGACAAAATTCTATTAATTTAGCGAAATATTAAATTATCGAGATAATAAAGTTTGTACGTTTTTACTGAGTGGGGACCGTAATAAATTATTATTTAAACGAGGTTATTATTTTATCGAGTATTAATTTATCGAGGTTCTACTGTATTAAGTTATTTTGTAGATTGTCAACTAAATTGGATTATGGGATGAGATTATCGATCCGATTATATTATGTTAAAAATGACCTAACTCAGTTACACCTTATTTTCAGACAATTATTTGTAATAATGATGGATTGGTTCGGTCGAGTCTTCAGACTACTGAAAATGAACGAACAATAAGTATTTTAGGATGAATATTTTATTGAACTTGTTCGATCTCCGGGCGCAGCAATTATCTTAACAACTACCTTTCTTGATAATTTATAAGCTTTTAAATTATCATGTGATATATTTTGAACATCCTCTAACTTAGATTATTGCTAGTATTGTACAGCCATTTTTTTTTTTAATTTAAAAAAAAAAACATCGAATAGTGGAATAAGTAAAGCAGTTAGTAAGAGTGTGGCAATGGCGGCATCGTCGTGTATCTTCTGCCAAATCGCCCGCTCTTCAACATCCACCATCCTCCTTCACCAGGTATTGTTTCTCTACATTGTTATATATATTCTTGACAAGTAATAATAATCGTTATTGATTTAAGCAGGATCATAAAGTTATTGCTTTTCAAGATATTAATCCATCTGCGTTCAGGTCAATTATTTTTACCCTTGATTTTGTTTGTTTCATTTTTATCATTTTTATTATCTGTTATGCAAATCTTAACGTGTTTGATTAATTCAATTGACTGTCGAAGGAATATACTGTGAACTGTGAAAGTGTTATCTTGTTCTTTTTCACGAGTTCCCGATCGATTATTAGTACAGCCAAAATGGTGGTGATGTTGGATTTTTATAGAATACAACAATTAAATAGTTTCCTACTCTAGAATTTCATTTAGATTGATGAATTCGAAACTAAAGATTTCAAATTCGGAACAAGTCCATTAAGCTTGTTACGTAGATCCATTTTTACAATAAATTTCAAATTATTAAACTCTTTTCGTGAATTATCTTTCGAGATATGAACATGCTATTTAGGTTAGCATCGACTAAGTTCTTTAACGCAATTTTTTTTTCTTTTTTATATTGTGGGAAACACTATTAAGGACATTGGTCGTTTATAAATAACTGCAATATTTTTTACAAACAACCGTTATTTGGGAATTAGGCATTACTTGGTGATTCCGATTGAGCACATACCAACAGTGAACGATCTTCACAAAAGATCAGAAGACTATACATTAGGTAACAAGTGCCTTTTTTCGTTTAGGATAACTTATTTCATATGTTTGATTTCGCATTGTTGTACTTTGTAGTCAGTCACATGTTAAATGTTGGTCAAACCCTATTGCAAAGAGATGCACCTCAGGCAAAGGAGTATAGGTATGCTTCTTCTATATTGCGCACAATTCAATCTTCATTTCCTTTTATAAATAATTGATTTTTCTTTTATTATGATTTTAAATGCATAATTAAAACAATTTAAATTAATAAAAATGATTAAGATATGAAGTCCTTGATTAGTAATATTTACGAATTTCTCACAATTATGCAGTACTAAATGTGAATGCAAAAATCTCACAATTAATCAAGCAAAAATCTCCAAACGTTTGCAAGCAATTTGATTTTTTACAAACTCGTATTTAAAATTGGGAAAAAAATGAATTGAGGTTCAAAAATTTCGATTTGATCAGATTTGGGTTCCACCAGCCTCCATTCAATAGTATCGATCACCTGCATCTTCACTGCTTGGCACTTCCGTTTATTCCCAGGTAACAATATAATATTTTATCTTGACTTCCAAATTTAATTTTTTTCGAGGAAAATGTGATGGTATATATAATCTTATTAAAACAGATGGAGAGAGTTAAAATACTCGTCTTTAGGGCCACTTGGAGGATTTGTTGAAGCAGGGGTGTTGTTGGAGAGGATAAAGCCTTCGTTCTGAAATTAAGTGGATTTTATATACTTTATTGCATTGCATACACTTTGTTTGTCATAATGAAAATATACATGCACTCGAATAGCAAGTACATAGAATCACTTCCCGGAAAGTGTCGTGTAAATTCTCTGGTTAATAATGTAATGTGCCGATTTCTGGCTACTTATATATACAGTACATTTATTTTTTTTCCCCTAAGCCTGTTGCGTTTTACTCTACTTTGTCGACAACTTTAGCGCTTGAATGAAACGTAACTATTTCTTGTAGAATGATTTCTGAAACTTCCAGGTTTGTTGATTTCTTTTAAGGGATCGGCTAAAACAAATACCGTTTATTTTTCACTTCAATACCACCAACATAAAAAATAAAAAATAAATAGAAAATAAATAGGTAATGACATTAGTACCCTTAATAAAAATTAATAGGCTTAATTCCACTTTGCACCCTTGAAATATACCATTTTGGCACTTTGCACCCTCGAAATAAATTAATAGCACTTTGCACCCTTGAAATACAATAAATCATGCATAATGCACCCCAAATGATTTTTTAAAGCTAAAAAATATAAATTTAATATTTGTAGTGATATTTTTTTAGGATGCCAAATGTCAA